TCTGTATTGAATCCATGCTTACCTGGTTTCCTGGGTCTTCGGCCCCTGGTCCGGATTAACTTGATTGGAAGACAGGTAACAACAATTCATGTGACTGGCAGCTTTTCGCTGGCACCTATTCCAGTTGGTTAAAGTCTGTTTCATGCTGGTTGTGAAAGTTTTATCACCACCACTGTGTGTGTGTGTGTGTGTGTGTGTGCGCGCGCGCGCGCGCGCGCGCAAGCGCATGGGTAGAACACCAGGAAATAGCAAGCGATTTCATCTCAGTTCATGAATGTAGATCTCTTCTCCTGCCTGCCTGCCTTCTCCCAATCCTATTGTATATAATAACTAGGCCACCCATCTCAGACAGCAGCGCATGAGCTATTTCTGGAAATGACATTTCTGTTGTTGTTACCACTTGTTTGCTCCCTGTGCATTCATTCTGCCATGTTATTCATCAGCAGATAAGCGGTAGCAGGTGCTGAACATGCAGGGGAGGGGGAAGAGGAGGAAGCATTGACCCCACTTATTTATTCTTCTCAACTAAGAAAAGACAGCCTCACTTGGTTTTTGGCATGGGACTTCTTGGTCCAGGTCATGGAAAAGAGGTGCTCCAAGGTGGCAAACCCTGGGTGGGGCAGGTGGTCAATGTGCTCAGCTGCCAACTCACACGTTGGTAGTTTGAATCCATCCGGAGGCATTGCGGAAGAAAGGCCTGGTGACCTACTTCTGAAAAAGCAGCCATTGAGAAAGAACCCTCTGGAGCACACCTCTACCCTGGCACACACGGGGTGCACATGAGTCGGTGGTCATGACTCGGCAGCAACTCGGCAGCGGTGTTGGGTTTACAGCCAGCCTGAAAAGGCTCACCAGGAGCCAACACGCGGCAAACACACAGGACCGAGATGATACGCAGACGGGTGATGCATTTGGTTGTAGTTTTTGTTTCTAGAGTCTTCCTGGTTCTGTGGTAGTTCTATAATACTGTTGTCAATTTGAGAGGATTAAGAGTGAAAGGGTGTTTAGCCTGTCAATCAGATCACAGCTTGATGACCTCATTTGGAGGCACTAAAGAGATACATAGCTGGCTGGAGGCGGGACACATGCTCACTCCCTGGGAGACATGGCAGCTGACAAGATACATGGAGCTACACTAGTGCCTGGAGCTGGACAAGCCACGCGGAGACCCCTGCCAGTGCTGAAATGCTTACAATGCCACTGGATCCACAAGACTTCCCACCCACTGGCCTGTGATGTTCCTGCATTCGGCGTCATTGCATGTGTTTTGTGAGTCTAAAGAGGACTTTATAGATTGGTTTCAGACATATGGGGTATTATTGGACTTAAGGAGTTGATCTGGACTGGGCTGGGATGTTTTCTTAATGTGCAATTACTCTTGAATATAAAGCTCTTTCTTATACACATGTGTCTATGAATTTGTTTCTCTAGTCTACCTGGATTAACACAGCTTCTTATGAGTTGCACCATTGTTCTGGTGGAGCCCTGCTGGTGCAGTGATTATGCATTGTGCTGCAATCCACACGGTCCACAGAAAGGCAGCGAGAACGAGGAAGGCCGTCCATGAGATGGGCCGACACAGTGGGTGTGTCAGTGGGCTCAAGCATGAGAACCATTGTGAGGAGGGTGCGGACTGGGCAGTGTTTCCTTCTGCTGTGCAGAGGGTCGCTATGAGTCAGAACCGACTTGATGGCACCTGGCAACAACATTGTCTGGTTTCTGCTAGTGGCCCACCCAGTGCTCATGGTCCATTTTTCTCAAGGACAGCTACACAGCTCCTCAGAGCAATCAGGTGGGAGTGAGCATCCTCGTTATGCTTGCGCTAAGCACCTTACATGAATCCTTGCCATGAGGTAACATGTAACTCATGTAATGATGCAGTCCTCCCAATAGACTCATGAAGTACGTACTAGTGAGGTACTTGTCTTGCAGAGGAGGAGACTGAAGTGAAAACAGGGAAAGGGCTTGCCCAAGGTGCACTCAGCTGGCAGCAGGTGGAAGAGCTGGGATTGGTGGCAGCAGTCTGATTCCAGCACTCTCCCTCATAACCACTGTCTGCAGGGCTCTGCACTCTTCCTTGGGCACATGAAAAAAGGAATCTTCCCTAACAAACCTCTTAGGAGACCTGGTGGCATAGTGGCTATGACTTGAGCTTCTAACTGCAAGGTGGGCAGTTCGAAACCACCAGCCACTCCAAAGGAGAAAGATGGGGATTTCCACTCCCATCAAGAGTTACCAACCAATAGAGAGGTCTGTGCGGCTGGCTGCAATCCCAACTATGTGGACACCTCACCTCTCCCCAGAAGAATTCACTTCAGAGGACAGCACTGATGCTACAGCTCAGGGAGAGGGGCGAGTCTGATCAGAGTACACGGGAGCAAATGAAATGGGAAGGAGAGAGAGTGGAACACATCCTGGGCCCACCAAGCCCTGAGGATGATATTCCTGCTCAGAGCAGCCAATACACAGAGGGGACCATAGGGCCAGCCCCACCACAAGACATGACATTCTCACTAACCCACAGCACTTCGAGGGCCAACACTGGAGGCACAGTGTGGGAATTGTGCCCAATCTGACCCCACCACACTGAGGCAAACTCTAAGTGCGTACAACAGAGCAGCAAGGGGAGCAAAGCAATGAAGACCCCGGGGAATAGCAAAAAATAGACTTTGGGGCCAGGGTGTGGCACCCCATCTGACTCGACCAGAAAACACTCTTAAAGGTCAACCAACAGACCTGGAACTATTTATAGCTTTTATTTTGCTTTCTTTCTTTTTGGTCATTGGGTTTTGTTGTTTTCTTTTCTTTTGTTGTTCTGTTTTGCTCTGTCTTATTTTTGTGCTTTTTATTGTCTCTGCATGTCTATCTAGATAAGATAGGCAGGATAAACAATCCAGAGGGGAAAACAATGGGACTGATGGTTCCGGAAGGACATAGGAGAGGAGAGATGGGAAAGGAAGTGGGTGTTAACCACCCCAGGGACAAGGGGATGACAAGTGATCTAAAATCAATGGTGAGGAGGGTGTAGGAGGCCTGGTAGGGCTTGATCAAGGGCAATGTAACCAAGAGGAATTACTGAAACCTGAATGCAAGCTGAACATGATAGTGGGACAAGAGGAAAGTAAAAGGAAATAGAGGAAAGAGCTAGGAGGCAAAGGGCATTTACAGGGTATAAATACAGGCATGTACATATAGAAATATATATATATATATATATATATATAGAAGGGAAATATATCTATGTACATATATTTATAGACATTGGGCCTCTATTCAAGTGCTCCCTCAATGCAAGAACACTTTGTTCTAATAACCTGACATTCTGTGATGATCACCTTCCTGACACAATCACTGAAAACAAAAATGTGTGCATAAGCAAATGTGGTGAAGAAAGCTGATGGTGCCCAGCTATCAAAAGAGATAGCATCTGGGGTCTTAAAAGTTTGAAAATAAACACGTGGCCATATAGCTGAGAAGCAACAAAGTCCACATAGAAGAAGCACACCAGCCTGTGTGATCATGTGTTGTTGATAGGATAGGGTATCAGGCATCAAAGACCCAGAACAAAAAAAAAAGTCATATAATTGTGAATGAGGGGGAGTGCCGAGGGGAGACCCAAAGCCCATCTGTAGACAATTGGACATCCCCTTACAGAAGGGTCACAAGGAAGAGATGAGCCAGTCAGGGTGCAGTATAGCACCGATGAAACATACAACTTTCCTCTAGTTCCTTAATGCTTCCTCCCCATCACTATCATGACCCCAATTTTACCTTAAATATCCGGCTAGGCCAGAGCATGTACATGGGTACAGCAGATAAGAGCTGGAAACACAGGGAATCCAGGGCCTATAAACCCCTCAGGACTAATAATGAGAGTAGCCATACCAGGAGGGTCAGGAGAAGGTGGGGGAGAAAGGGGGAACTGATGACAATGTTCTACATATAACCCCATGCAGCAGGTGAAGGGAGACATCGGTCAGTGTAAGACATGAAATAATAATAATTTATAAATTATCAAGGGTTTGTGAGGGAGGGTGAGAGAGGGAGGGAAAAATGAGAATCTGATACCAAGGGGTCAAGTAGAAAGAAAATGTTTTGAAATGATGATGGCAACAAACATACAAATGTGCTTGACACAATGGATGAATGTATGGATTATGATAAGAGCTGTAAGAGCCCCCAATAAAATGATCTTTAAAAAAATTTAAAAAAGAACACAATGGATATATGTATGAATTGTGATAAGAGTTGTATGAGCCCCCAATAAAATGATTTTTTTTAAAGTGATTTAACTATGAAAACAAAAAAAGAGTTACCGTCTCAGAAACCCACAGGGGCAGTTCCACCACGTCCTATAGGGTCACTATGAGTCGATGTCGACTCATTGATGGTGCGTTTTGACCTATCCCGTTGGCCAATGACACCTGGGCAGAAGTGGTGAGGTCCCGTATCTGATCGGAACTTGTAAGAGCCAGTTCTCACTACCACATTCCCTCTCTCTCCCCTAATAGGGCAATGGTTTAAACCTTGGGCTGCTCACCAAAAGAACAATAGTTCAAACCCACCAGCTGTCCCACAGGTGAAACACCAGGCAGTCTGCTTCCATAAGGAGTTACCGCCTTGGAAACCCTGTGCAGCAGTTCCACTCTGTCCTACCGGCTACGAGTCCCCATCAGCTTGATGGCCGTGGGTACTTGCAACTGCAGACGAGCCTAGCCCATGCTGGCTAATCTAGCGTTGTCCTGCCTCCTGTCCACTCTCTTTGGCCTCTGGCTCCACATTCAAACTAGAAAAGCAGCAGCGAGCGGGAGAGAGGAGACTGCGTCCCCAAGAGCGGGCATCGAAGTGGGGTGTGTTGGGAACATGTGCCCATGCTGGGCCACACTGTAGAGCAGGGGCCCCACGAGACTCAAGCTGCATCCAGCCCTGGAAAGCCCCCCACCCCGGCAGGCGCTGCACACCGGCTTCTCTCCCATACTCATTTATTGGCTCTCCTAATTTTATTCCCCACTATTATAGGTTACACTGGACTGGCAGGAGGGCCGCGCTCTCAGGTCCTGGGGGCACTGCAGGCTGACTATGACCTTGCAGGCCTGGATCTGAACATCCTCCTCAGGGTGGATGACCAGGGCAAGCAGCCGGTCTGCTAGCCGAGACTCATCCCGGAAGAGGGCTTCGTGCACGGATTGTTCATTGTAGTGCCATTTCACAACGCGGTAGTGGGGGGCATTCCGGCCCTCGCTCAGCCGCTCAGCAAACACCAGCACCTCAAACAGCAGGCTCCCTGGCTGTGTGGACTGGAACAGGTTCAAGAAGTTGGGGTGCACCTGCGGATGGGGGTGAAATGCCAGACAAGTGTCAGGAAGGGGCTCTCAGGTTGCTCTTCACCCCCTTCCTGTCTCAGGGCAGGCGGAAATGCGCAGAGACTTCCCCTTTCCCTTCTTTGTTGTCCTTGCCTTAATGGCATGGTTCTCCTGACGAATGAAGGATAGGGCACTAATGTGGGTCCCGGGGAATTTGCTGAGGCCTACACTTGAAGGCTCGGTGCTCCATCAGGGTTTTGTATGTGCATGGAGAAATTGTGGAGTGCAGGGCCCTGGCTACGGCTCAAGCTTGTTGTCTGTGTTACACAGCGAGTGTGGCCTTACAAGGTCCCAGGGTGGGGCAAACGGTTTGTGCTCAATTGCCCTGGCCATCAGAGGACCCAGAAAACACTAGGAAGCAGTTCACCATGGTAACGCATGGGGGCGCCATGAGCAGGCCTCAGCTCCACAGCAACAGGTTGGGGTGGGTCCCGTGGAGAGCCTTACTGGTTCTAGGTTTTTCATCTTATCAGTTTCGGGAAGAGTACTTTAAATCTCATCAATCCCCCCCTAAGGCAAGAGCTCTATCGATTTCCCCTTGCAATTCTATCAAGCGTCGCCAACTATCTTTTGAAATGGTGCTATTAGGAGGCATTCACGGGTACAGCTACTCCCTCCCGCGCGGAGTCCCAGAGGTACACTGGTTGGAGTCAGTGCTCACTGCTAGCTAACCAAAAGGCTGGTGGTTCAAACCCACCAGCCGCTCCACCAGAGAACGATGGAGATAACAGCGTTATGTAATGTTGGGCACACTATAGGGCACTTGTACTCTGTCCTGTCGGGTCACCCATAGTCAGAATTGTCCTGACAGCAACAGGGTTTTTGTTGTTGTTGTTGTTTTTAAACTGGTATCCTTCTGGCGAGTTGAGGCCTAAAAACACTCCTTGCTTTGTCATCGCCCCCTCTCCCCCCACCCATGCTCAATCTTAAGATACCTACATTAGCTTCTGTTGCTTGCCTGCGTTTCTCTCCTGAGTTCTGGAAGACCCTCCCACCACAGCCCCTCCCACCATGACGGAGTCTCAGGTTAGTAGGGGCAGGGCAGAGGGGATGTTCTTTCACTGCACCTAGTTCAGGGGCAGGAGGAGGAACGGGGAATCCATCCACATATGGAGCTAAGCGTGGGGAGAATCCAGGACCCCTCTCTCCCCAGCACCTGCGTTGGCATCCATCAGCCCCTCTTCGGTCCCGTCTCACCTGGCAGTTGAGAATGTCATAGAGGAGGTCGTTCTTCTGTGCCAGGTAACTCAGCAGTCGGATGGCTTGCACCTGGACAGAGGAAAGCATGGGAGGGCAGGGACGTCAATCTCTGCTCCCTCCTCACAGGACTGTGCCCAGGGTCTCAGAGGAACGGGTCACAGTCACTGAGCTCCCGCACCTGTGCCAGGATGTAGTCGCACTGTAGGATCTCCATCAAGGCGGGCATCACCCGCCGCAGCTGTGGGTGGACATAGTCCGGCAACGGGAGGTTGTTGAGGAGCCTGAGGCCGGCAACGTGCAGCTCTGAGTCCCAGACGGTGCAGATCAGCTCCAGCACCTTGATGGAGTGTTCCTGGGGTGGGAGGGGAAGCGAAGGGTCTGTTCTTAGGTAATGCTCCCACACCACTGTCCCAGCCTCTACGCTCTCCACTCCCTAGGCCACAACACTGGGCCAAGCCCAAACGACGGTTCTAATGCAGACCCCCAACACCATCTGATCCAAGGGATGACACCCACCGCCTTGGAATTCTTTCTTTACTGGGCTTCTTCCTCTTCCAGACTGCTCTGGTTCTCCTGCTTCCCCTCCCCTGCTCTACATCGCCCGCCTGGGAGCATCCAGGCCCACTTTGTTACATACCGTCCATATGCTGGTGGTGAGTTTGATTCGGTTCATGCCCCCAGCCTTGACCACTCTCTTGAAGTACAGACTCACATATTCAGTCCCACGTCTCTCCTTGAAGGTCTACTAGACACTCCAGTTACCCTTGTTCCCAAACGAACCTGCTCCTTCCACCTCCTGCCCTGTCTCGGCTTTGTCACACCATCCCTCCTGTTGCTCGGGTCAAAACCCAGCGACTCCTTTCTTTCTGGAGTGTCCCTTCCTCCACGCCTCCAGCGTGCTTACTGGTCCCGCCATCAAAATGCATCAGCACTCCAGCTACTTTCACCACCTCGCTGTTTGGCAGTAGGGTGCCCCTCTCACTTGCATTTCCACGGCAGTCTCCTGTCTCCCTGCTGCCTCTCTTGCCTGACCGACCGACCATGGGTTCTCAGCACAGTGGATGCTGCAACACACGTGGAGCATGTTCTTCCCACTGCTCACAAGCTTCCATTTCATTCAGCAAAAGAGCCCAAGTCTTTGCAGTACGTTTCAACACCCATGTGATCTAGGTAGCATCCTGCGTGCCCTCCATTATTATTTCTTGATCTCGCTTCCTCCTCTCTTGCTCCGGTTCAGTGGCCTTCTTGAACCTTCCAAGAACGCACTTCTCTTTGGGTTTTTGGCGTGGGCTGATTCCTCTGCTTGGAATGCTCTCCCCTCAAATATTCATCACGCCCTTCCAGACGTTTCTTATTGTCGCTTTCTCAATGAGACCTCTTTGACCACAGCCTTTAACATGACAACACTGCCTGCATCCCAGCCTGCCTCATTCCCCACCCCTGTTTTATTTTTCTCCATAGTCCTGTCGCACGGAACACTTTTTATTTTAAACTTTTTATCCTGAAAGAAGTATACATTCGACGCATGGCCCTGCGGGGGAAACACTGGAGACAGTGTGGGAATTGCGCCCGATCTGATCCCGCCACACAGAGGCAAAGCACTGGGGGAGGGTGGGGCAGTGGAACATTAAGGGAATGGAGCAGCAAAGTCCCCAGGGAATGCTGAAGGTGAACTTTGGGGCCAGGGCGTGGTGCCCCAACAGACTGAACTGGAAAACACTCCTAAAGACCAAAAAACGATCCTTGAACTAACTACAAGCTTTTCTTTCTTGTTGTGTTGTGTTTTGGTGTTTTTTTTTTCATTGGTTTGTTGTTTTG